ACTCTTAAATTTTTCTTAATTCCAACTTTACTTGAAAATCAGTAATTTGTCTTTACACTCCCATCAATGAAAAACATAAGATAATAGTCTTTTATAAGGTAATAGTCTTTTATAATAAAATAGTTCATAAATTAGAGACAAAATTATACAATTAAAAAAACATAAATTTTATAATGAGATTAAGGTGTGAAGTAATCATTAAATTTGCCAATCGGCCTTGTTGGTATTTTCATTAATATAAAGAATGAGAGGTGTTGAGTTTGAATTTTTTCGATTATAAGAGTTTCATCAATTTAGTGAATTAAAGGAAGAACTATCTCTCTTATGTAATTCATCATGTTATTTCGGCGATCGAGTCTCCCAATGAATGAAAAAAATAATTATTAAATTTTATGAGTTAAAATTACTAATTTTGAAATGGTAAATTGCAAATACATATTATGACAATTTTTATTTTTGACTCCAACTATATATTATGGCTCTGAGAGTTGATATTATTTATTAGTGAAAGTTGATATTATTTATTGAGAGTTGATATTATTTATTAGTTTGGTAGAATGTGGCAAATCAACTTAATTGTTTGTGAGCTACTCTAAACTTTTGACTAGCCAAAAACTTGCTAAGCTTGTCTAAACTGGTGACCGGCTAATTTATAGGCACAAATATGAAAATCCGTGTTTTTTTTTTAATTTGTTGGAAAATTCAAGAGCTGAAAAAATATTATGGACTACACAATACAGTCCTTCTTTTTATTCACTAAATTAATAAAAACTTTTATAATCAAGATGACTGAAATCTGAGACGTCTCACTTTCCACACAAATGAAGATAACAATCAGATCATATTTAATTGACTAAAAAATCCGCTCATTTTATGAATAAGATTAAAATCTATTAACATATACTCATATTATGCCTTTTTGAATCGAGGAATAATATGAACTTTACTTTCCTAATAATGATATAATATTTACAAATTTTCAACTTTGGAATTGCTGACTAGATGAAAGGTTTAAGACAACACTATAAGGAGTTATAGTACTTTCAATATAGTATTAAAAAAGGAAATTAATTGTCTAGACCGGATCCATGATCTCACTTATCGACTAAAGTAATGAAATTAAGAATCTTTTAAAAAGTGTTCCTACATTTTTATTTTTATTTGACAAGTAAAAAGTGTTCCTACATTTTTATTTTTATTTGACAAGTACATAATTAGAAATAACTTCATTTCAACCCAAAAGAACCTTTGCCTTTGTTGATATTATTGCCAAATATGAAAATGAACAGAAAGTCAAAAGCTGAGGTGAGATAATTTTTTCTTGAAAAAAGGTTGATTAAGATATGATATGATATTCGCTACTGAACACTAAGATTTTACTTTCCTTTTCCTTTTACATAAATCACAAAGTAACTCTATAATCTTAGTTTTAGATGCATAATGAGTATTCTACCATTAAAAGAGACTACCAAAAAAGTATACAGGGAGAGTACCCAAAAGGAGACCCGGAGCAGCGAGAGTCTAATTTATGTTCTTGATACTTCTTTTCTCATGCCAACCCATCGATTCCCCAAAGGATCAGATCATGATCTCTTTTCAAGCTAAAGGCCAAACCGGGAGTTATTCATTATGTCCAAAAGAAAAAACCTTTGCAATAAATATCCAGTCAGATCCTTAGTTTAAATTCCATATCAGAAGCGACATGTGCATCAATGTTATTTAACACCATAGCTAAGACTTTCGATACTCTAACCTGAGCACTTCTCAGTATCTATGCGGATACAAATTCAAAAAACACTCTGCATAAAACCCTCTCATACACACTCTGCATATATAAATTAGAGACTAAATTATACAATTAAAAAAATATAAATTTTATAATGAGATTAAAGTGTGAAGTAATCATTAAATTTGTCGATGGGCCTTGTTGGTATTTTCATTAATGTGAAGAGTGAGAGGTGTTGAGTTCAAATTCTTTCGATTATAAAAGTTTCATCAATTTAGTGAATTAAAGGAAAAACTATCTCTCTTATGTAATTCATCATGTTATTTCGGCGATTGAGTCTCCCAATGAATGAAAAAAATAATTATTAAATTTTATGAGTTAAAATTACTAATTTTGAAATGGTAAATAGCGAATACATATTATGACAATTTTTATTTTTGACTCCAACTATATATTATGGCTCTGAGAGTTGATATTATTTATTAGTTTGGTAGAATGTGCCAATTTTTATTTTTGACTCCAACTATATATTATGGCTCTGAGAGTTGATATTATTTATTAGTTTGGTAGAATGTGCCAAATCAACTTAATTGTTTGTGAGCTACTCTATACTTTTGACTAGCCAAAAACTTGCTAAGCTTGTCTAGACTGGTGACGGGCTAATTTATAGGCACAAATATGTAGCGGTGGCCAAAATCTGAATTTTTGAACCAGAACCATCGGTTCCGAACCGGTGGGAATCGGAACTAGAACCGATCCAAACCGGTTTGATTTCGGTTCCATCAGTTTTGGAACCTTGAACCAGTGGTTTCAGCTCCAGTCAGAACCGACGGTTCTAATTCCGTCTAAAACCGGCTAGAACCGTTCGAAACTGGCCAGAATCGGTCTTAAACCAGTCGGAACCGTCAAAAAACCAGCAGAAAAATCGGCCGGAACCATCGATTTTGGAACCATTGAGGAACCGGAATCGGAACCAGAACCGTTCGGTTCCAAACCATAACCGGAACCGTTAATTTTTTATTCGATTTTGGTTCCAAATTTTTTGGAATTGAAACCATCGGTTCTAGAATCGAAACCGGCGGTTCCAGAACCGTGGCCACTCCTACAAATATGAAAACCCGTGTTTTTTTTTATTTGATGGAAAATTCAACAGCCGAAAAAATATTATGGACTATACGATGCAGTCCTTCTCTTTGCTCACTAAATTAATAAAAACATTTATAATTAAGAGGATTTAAATCTGAGACGATTCACTTTCCACATAAGTGAAAACAACGATTAGATCATATTTAATCTCCGCTCATTTTATGAATAAGATTAAAATCTATTAACATATATTCATATTATGCCTTTTTTCGAACCAAGGAATAATATGAACTTTACTTTCCCAATAATAATATAATTTTTACAAATTTTCAACTTTGTAATTGCGGACTCGATGAAAGGTTTAAGACAACACTACAAGGAGTTATAGTATTTTCAATATAGCATTAAAAAAGGAAATTACTTGTCTAGACCGAATTCATGACCTCACTTCTTGACCAAAGCAATGAAATTAAGAATCTTTTAAAAAGTGTTCCTACATTTTTATTTTTATTTTCCAAGTACATAGTTAGAAATAACTTCATTTTAATAAAAATTCTTAATTTTATAAATTTGATCCATGAATAGAGTCTTATACTCAATCCAGATAAGTTTTTTCTATTAGAAAGGGGAGCATTAGCGAGAACTTCAGAATTTTCTTTTTAAAAAATTTATCTTATAAAATAGTGTAATTTTTTTATTTAACCCTCTTAAATTTTGTCTCCTAGAAATTTTAGAGTCTGCTCTTTTTTTTTTTTTTTTTTTTTTAGTTTTTTTTTTTTTTTTTTCTCTGTCAACGTTTCTTTACATTCATGGAGATCAGTTTTTTTTAATTTACAAACGTTTTCTATCCAACAATACACAAGGAAAGCTCGTCTGCTTTAAACTGTTGAAAAACGACACGAGAGATATCGTCATTTTGGCTTTTGATTTTTATTTATTGTGCAGTTACATAGTAAAAGAGAGTTTCAAAGAAGAGAAAACATGAGTTCCATGATAAATTATTATTAACAAAAAAGACAAAAACTTCCGCTATTTATTCATATTTGTGAAGAATAAAATTCTTATGCTACTAAAAGTACTTTGAAAATAAGATAATACTAACATAAAATTTTAGAACGGTAATAAATATGAATATTAATAAAAATTCCTCGTCATTCTAGTATTGGTATTTATCGTCATTCTAGTATTGGTATTTAAATGGATTTGATTTGAAGAAATTTATAACCTTAGCCTTTTTAATTAAGAGGTGTTTGGTATAATTCAATCAAATCTACTTTTTAAATAAAAATTATGAATAAAATAAAATTATAAGTAAAACATTCCGGTGAACTCGAGCTCGAAATCTATCAAACTAAAATGATATTATTCCATACGTAGATTTAATTAATTTTAGCTTATTAAGCTAACTTGTGAGTCGTGAATTCAACTCAATAAAGCTGATTCTAGAGTTTGGCTTGATAAAATTGGCCCCCAAGTCAACTCTCAAGCAAATGAGTTCGACTTGTTTATTAAATGAGCTTGATAGTTTGTTTAGAACTTGACTCAATAAATTTATCGAAAAAGCTTGAGCGAGTTTTTATTGAGCCGAGCCTCAAGCAGCTGACGAATGACTTGTCTCATTTATAGTCCTTGTAATTTCCTTCCAACAATTTCTTACAATTTTCTATCAACAATTACTATTTTGTTCCTGTACTTTGCCAAAATTATTTAATTTATCTCTATCTTTATTGATTAATTTATCCTTATATTTTATCAATCAAATTTTGCACGCCATAGTCTATATTAAATGCACATGCTTGACGATAGCATGACAATCAGGGCGGTTCTACAATGAGGGCACTTGCCCCCATTGGCTTTTTACAGTTCAATTTATAATTTTTTATTTTTAGCAGTTTCAATTTATAAATTTTTTATATTTTAGTATATAATATGTTAATTGGTATTTATTCACTAAATTTTTACATTTTAGACCCACTGAACTTATTACTTTTTAATATTGCCCCCACTAGTTTAATTTTTTGGATTCATCTCCGCTTACAATAGATCTAGATTCAAACCCCCTCCTGTAGTATTCAAAAAAAAAAAAAAAAAAGGCAAATTTTATTTATTATATAAGAATAAAGAAAAAATCAGTCAATAAATACTAAGACTAATTAGTCAATAAATATAAATGAAATTTGGGACTCAATTGAAAACAAATTTTTAAAAAGGAGTGCTAAATTATAAGTTTACAAGGATTGAACAACAATTTTACAAAATAACTTCAAGTTACTTTCCTTCACACGTAATGCTCACTTTACTTTTCTTCCTCACTCGAGTCTCTACTTTATTATGATCCTTCAAAGTTTCTTAACTCCACCCCTGCTTGCATAATTTATTGCATGATCGAACTTGAATTCAGTGGCCTTCAAATATGATGGGTAAGAAAAGATTTTCGTTTCTAATTTTGCTTTTGTTTGTTTATATAAAAGTAATTAAAAACTTTAAATCGAAATTTGATTTTTTTTTTTTACCACCTCAAGTCTTAGGAGAAAAATATATTCGTCGGGGGAGAATCTGAGCTTCCTAATAGATATAAATTAATTGTTTTTGGAAGGCAATGCAACATGCCGGCGGTATTCTGCTAAAGCCCACATCGGAAAAGTAGTCCTCGACAATGCATAGTGTAACACGCAATTCTTGAAGAACGAACATCCGATTTCCTGCCAAAAAGTTATTTCTAAGTTTTTCATGCTTAAAACTGTTTATTTATGCCAAATAAGGATATGTCATAGACTTACCTGTTGAGGAAAATCACCAAGTTCTGTCTGAGAATTAATTAGCAATTTTGCAGCACGATGAATGGGAGTAGGATCTCTCTTGGCCTATTACAAAACAAAGTTTCAGAAATTAATTTTCGAATCAACTAAAACAACAATAAAATCCAGGAGTTAATTAGATTAGAGATTTAAACCGTAAACTGACTTGTCCTCCGTAGATTAAAGCCATCATAGCCATTGCAGTTTGCACCAGATTTGATCTTTTACCCTCAAGTGGAACATATACCTGTAACAAATTTAGATGGTTGATCAACAAGACGCCTAAGTAAAGTTCAGTGAAGAACATAATTTAAATATCAGCCAAGGAAATTACTTTCATAGAGCAAGAAAGATAACTCTCTCCCCATCCACCATCATCACATTGCATTTTAAGAAGAAAATCAACACCTCTTTGAATAGCAACAGAATTGTCATAAGTCTTACCGGCAGCAGCTAAACCTCGAAGTGCAAACCATGTACCATAGGTGAAGCATACCCCCCAATTTCCATACCTGTACTAATACAATGCAGTACTATATGTAATTGAACACACACACACAACTAATACAATGCAGTACTATATGTAATGAACACACCCACACACACGCAAACACACACTCGATCTCTGTCTATGTGTCCGTGTGTGTATATATATAGGCTAACAACACATAAATATAAATTTTTAACCATACCATGAACCATCAGGCTTTTGTATGCTCTCAATGTACTGTACAGCGTTTAAGATGGAATTTTCGACCTCCTCCTTCCTATGCTCAGGATATAGCTTCTTAAATAGAAGCAAACCTTGGAGTGCTGAAGAAGTGCATTCAACATACCTGGATCATTATATTATTGTTATTATTTTGGATACATGTACAAAACCGACAGGCTGAAAAATTTGAACTTGCTGCAGAAACAAATTGCAAAAAAATCTTACTCATGCTCAATTACAATGTCTTCGAGAAACTCCACAGGGTTGAGCAACTATTGAAAAGGGGCCAACTTGATATTATTAAAGGAAACTTTTGAAGCAAAAACACTGTGAAGATTATCAATTTGTAATTTTACATTAGTTTGCCATGTACAATTATTTACCTCCAACCATGATACTGCTCCTGCTGGTTCCCAAGCTGGAAAACCTCCATTTTTACTCTAATAATTAATCACATTATTACAAAAATAATGTTAAAATTTGATAATGTGCTAACATAATAACAATGGTTTTAAGCAAATATGCAATTCCCACCTGAAGAGAGAAGTAATGACCAATTGGACAGAGTCAGAGTCATACAACTTCTCAGGTACCATTTTCTCACCAACAATTTCAGGAGGCATCATTGAGAAAAGAAGGCAACACTGCAGAGCACATAATTTTTTTTATAATGAAAAACGGAAAAAGCAATCTCTTAATTTTCAATTATTAAGTAACCTTTTTAGGCAGAATTAATAATTACCTTTAAACTTTCTGCAGTGCAATCCGAAACTTGCCAGCCATGATCTTTATCAGAGAAAGCCCATGCTCCTTTGGAGATATGACGAAACATCCTTTTGAAATCTCCAGATGGGTTTTCAGTTATCTTCCAAATTAAGAGTTGAATAGAAACAAAGGCCGATACCAAATTAAATGACAAAAACAACATTTTTCATATTCTTAATCATGTAAGGAAGAAGCGGTTTCAGAATATCGATATATAGAAACCTGAGAATTCTTCAAAAAGTTGTGTCCTTCTTTAAGTGTGGGTCCTATTTCATCACACAGGTCGCTAGCGATCAAAGCTTTAAGGCAAAGACTTGCATCCCATATTTGACTGCCAGCCATATTTGACTGCCAAAACTCTGCAATAAACACTGCATCTCTTACGATTCTGTTATGTTTTTATTAGCACTTCATATCAAGTGCTCTAAGAGTCAAAGATCAAAAAGCATTTTACTGTTACTAAAATAAATACATATATAATAATGTGTACAAACTTGTATCTTCATTCCATCTTCTGCAACCCAAATGTAATCTGCAATCCTAGCAAGATGCTTCTTAAAGGCATCCCCATTGGGGTCATCAACCCAGCAAGCAAGCGTATTCAGGGGCTGTCCTAGTTGAATAGGCACAAAAGTGTTAATATAAGCGGTCTGAAAATATAGTTGACAGCCGGTCTGAAAATATAGGTTGACAAATTATTAATCTCTATATCCATGCCACCTTTTTTTCTGTGTACTTTTCCACACATCCAATTGGTAATGTATTGACTATTTTCATCTTCATAATGAATGTGATCCATTGTTTGTTTTCAGAGCCTTTTCTCGTAATTTGTTTAAAGGCCAACAGCTAAAAGAGGCTCCCGCCATTGTTTTGTTTATAAAAAAATTTTAGCAAAATCCCACAACAATTTTTTGCATCATTGGATGTGGTAATAATTGTCCTCCTACAAATGTCAATATGATACTTTCCTAATTAATAACAATTTTTTTTTCTGAAAAACGGAATCCGGAATCAAACTTCCCCAAACAAGAAAAAGCGCAGTAAAAATCAATTGAAGAGGAAATGAATGATGAGTTTACCTTTGCACATAAATGACGCACACTCTTCCAATTGATTTTGTGGTAAGGTTCGTTGTATATTTCCTCCCTAATTTGTAAAATGAGAAGTGTGATTGGACCAACAAATCTCTTTCCATACAAGTACGACATAGCCATGTAAGTGATTCGACAGTAGCTCATCATTTTTGCTGTAGGTATGGAATACAGAAGTATTATAACATAAATGTGCTTATAGCTAATACAACATGAAAGTCCAAAAGAATTTTACAAAATTGTGAACTTCATTTATACATCTATGGGTTAGAAGTGAAAAAGGAAAATCCAGCAACAAATTAAGGAAGGACATTAGAATTGATGCTGAATTTCCTAACAAATAAATTAGCAAACAAAATATTTTATCTCCTTAAAGACTTTCAGTCTGAAATTAGAAATGGAAACCTGGATGCAATGGAATAATAGTTGGAAAAACCCAAAATTCTGGTGGCATAGGGTTGCATCCATCCCATTCAAAAATTCTGGTGGCATAGGGTTGCATCCATTCCATTCATATACACCGAGTATCTACACGCAGGAGATGAAAAATTTCAGAGATTTAGAACAAGAATAAAGAATGAAGTAAAGCGATCCTTATAAGAAATTGTAAAAAAAAACTACCGAAAGCCATGTCTTTCCCCAAGAACTTATGGCGGTTGCGCCACCATGATCAAGAATCCACTTTCGCCCTCTTTCACAGGCATTTTCTCTGCCACCGTCGCGTCCTTCGCCGAGTATACGCATACATATATAGTTAAGCACAGTACAAAACATAGTGCTGTGTCCTTCAATGTGTAATCCCCATCCGCCATCTTCATTCTACAAAATAAAAATTTCCAGTAGAAAAAAATTCAGGAGAAGAAAAGAGTAGCCTTAAATAAGCATGGCTGGATCATTCAACCGCCAGTTCTTGCATATGGAACCGCCATTCAAAATTTTTAAAATGTTAATCAGACTTTTAACTATCAGTTTCCGTTCGATTTTAATTCTGGCCGATTTCGATGAATCAATGGTTCTGATTATGGTTTTTAGCAATATATACTTAAAAAATATTAGTAAATTTTATTTTAAATAAATTTTAGAATACTCATACTAATATAAGAATAAAATTAATTAATTTACAAAATAATCAAATATAAATTTAACAAAATATCAAAATAAATTATCATTTTGTTTTATTTAAATGTTATTAATTAATAAATTATAAGAAAATTTTAAAAAATACTTCAAAATAATATAATTTAACTTAGTAAACAATTTAAAAGGGTAAAAAAAGTTTAAAAAAAAACAATATAAGTTTAGCTAAATTAAAATTTAAAAGGGTAAAAAAAAGTTAAAAACAATATAAGTTTAGACTAAATATTTCTCTTTTTTTTATCATTTTACTTTTTAGATTTTTAACATTTAAAGTAAAGTTTATTTTTAAAAAAAATTCTCAAGTAAATTATATCATGTAGTAAAATATTATTGCAACTTATAAAGATGTATAAAATAAGCTAAGTGATTATCATTTTGAAAATAAAAATAGAAAATTTTCAGTTCAAACTGGATTGAAATCACCGGTTAACCGCCGGTTCAGATTTAGATTTTAACATTTACATGAATCTTAACCGGCCCTTGAACCGTCGATTCTGATTCAAAATTTTGAACCGACGATTTCGATGTGATTTTGATTCTCTACAGTACAGTTCAATTCTGGTTCGATTCTAATTCAAAATGAACCGATGTCCATACTTAGCCTTAAACGATAAAATTAGATATCTTTCTCTATGAAATTTCCAAGTTTAGAAGAACGAAAAATTAGGACAAACTGACGTATACGGGAAGTGACCCCAAAATTTTGCATACATTCTCTATTAAGTGCTTATAGTTTATTTCTTTTCTATTATACCCTTGAACCTTTAACTGCTTAGATTATACCCATGCATGGAATTTATTACACTATCTTTCAAAATTATATATATAGAAAATACCTGATGACAGTAAATATAACGCAGGATTTCTTTACGATGCTCTGCAGAAAACACAGAGTTAAGGTATCCTGTAATGTAGAGAGAAAAAACCTGCTTTCACAAAAATTTAATTGTTTCAGCTAAATATATACAGCAATATCATAAAATCAAAAGTTTTGATTAAGGAGTAATCACCAAAGGAGGCGCAAAGAACAATGGGCCTGAATTTTCTGCTGGCCAATGGCCATCGCTCGCCTGCAAAGCTGAAAACAAGTGGACGCTTCTCCTTAATGCAGCTGTGGCTTTTTCATATGTAATTTCCTCATTATCTTTAATCTTCACTTGAGGAAGTTCCTGTTTAAACTTTTTCTCCCTTAGAAACTGCAGTTTTAATTTACAAGAAAAAAACTCAAGCTAACGAATTATTTAGATAGGAAAAAAAGGAGGCCAAGAATAGGAAACTCTTCAGACTCAAATAAACGTCATATAAACTTTCTACTTCCTAATTAAAGAAGGTATTTTTATATATACCTGGAATTGCCAAAGAAGGTCAGAGCTTGGTTTGACCTGAAACCGATTGTTCCAGTAATTTTGTCGAGCTTTTTCGACCTCTTCTCGCTCTTCAGTACTGCCAGCATCAGCATCAAATTCCCATACTTCCCTTCCAAGAAAATTGTTTGTGCTATAAATGTAAGGGTCATTGCCTCCCTCTGCAACCCTAAGCCTCCACATAATTAACTAATTATGAACACTCTCTCTTTATTCTTTTTTCACTTCTTTTCTTTCTTTCACATGTATGTATACTATAGCATATCTAAAAAAGAAACCTAGCTAAAGGAAAAACATTTAGTTATTAAAAAGATGTAAAGCATATCTAAAAAAGTTTGTGACCTCATGCTTGTGAAACAAAAAAGATGCTGAAAGAAGAATTACAAGTTATTCATAGCCATGCAGAAGCGGTTAGATTGATTTATAGAGTTGGGAGAGAGGATAAATTTTTCACATCAGTAATGGGCCACCATAACCTTTAAATGCTTCATATTCACTGTCTGAACTCTGAATACCATTCACGTGGTGGTGAATCGAGAGCTGTATTGTTTTGCCGCAGAAGTGCATTCGGTGCTCGTGAATCCATAAGACTTACTTACACCTGCTCTGTTGTATGATATCATCTATATATTAAATCAAAATAATGGATAATTTTTTCATCATCTATATATTAAATCAAAATAATGGATGATTTTTTCAAAAATTATTATTATTTTATTATTTTTCTTTCCGAATCGTCAAAGATGCTTTCAGTTAAATTAAAAAAATGATTATTTCCAATTCCTACTCGAAATGTAGATAAGATTATCAGTTACAATTTTCTTAAAATGTGTATGGTTCTGAAAAAAAACGTAAGCATTATTAATTAATTAAGAAACCTGAAAATTTATTAAATTATTTTATTTTTTCGATATAACCAGGAGATTAATACTCTCAGTAAAAATTCCTTTCGAAAAAAAAAAAGACTTTCAGTAAAAATTTTTTTATCTTTTTAGCAAAATATACTTTGCGGAATTAAATTTGTGAAATTCAAATCCTTTGACGCCCAACCAAAATTTCGTTGGTTTATATTAAATTATCTTACATGACCCAACAAAATCAGTAGTTGGAAGCTAGATCCCAAATGGCTAGGTAATTGACACATGGCTAGGTAATTGACACTTCAGCACTATAAAATCAGCACTTGGAAGCCAGGTGGATAGGTAAATTGACTTTTTAAATTGTGCTGAATAGATAAGTTAAATTTGATATAATAATTTTTTAAAAAATATTTTCTAATTAGTGAAATCTTATCTATATAGATATTTTTTTTATTAGTACAAAGTATATAGTATTATTGGATACTTAAAATATTAAAATAATATCCTAAGAAATTGGCATGCACAATGGCAATACATTTATTAATTAATAATATATATTAATATTTAAGAATATATATTATATGTTATTTTACTCGTTATTTTTCATTTGTAAATTGAGAGTTATACTAAAAATGTAATATATTCTCATAACATATAATGAAAATTTTTAAATAAGAATCCTATTAAAAACCCCATCTCGGAAAATAAATATTTTAAATTTAATTATCATGACTATTTTTAAATAAGAATTGCATTAGGAATCCAATATATATCTTAGTATATAGAATATACCATTTAATTATAATAAAAATTTCATAAATAAAAAATTATATTATTTGGCTGTCCCTTGTTGTACATAATAATTTATTCTATTTTATATATAATATTTAATATTATAAAATTTTTCCTATAATACTAAAAATTTACAGAACAGTAATATTAATTTTAATAATTAATAAATTAACTGAGAATATTTTTATTTATAAATAAATTTATAAAAAACAGTAATTATCTAATTCCAACAAAAGTTAAGAAGAAATATTCAAGTCAATTTAAAAAAAATAAGATATTCAAGTCATTTTAAAAAATAAGATAAAATCTATTTAGAAAAAATTTATTGAATCAAAATGTTTCATAAAAGAATATTATAATTTGTTACCTTGATTTATGATTGATGGATAGAAGAACAATAAACATACTTGCAATTAGCTTGACAAAATCAAACTGTTGTAAAATAAATTCTCCTAGAAAAATATAAATTATATGTGTGAAGTTAAAATCTTAATCACCTCCATGGCTTTCATAATAAAAAATAAACTACACCACTATTATGATATTTAAATATCTAATGTATAAATTTGATATTATAATCTCGGCGATTAGTCCTGTGGCCCTGTAAACTTTGTCAGAGATCCTTTATAATCATATACTATTCTTTTATTTCAGTAATAATTAAATTTCTTATCAAAATAAAATGTGAAAGTAAAAAGTCATAATCAAAATCCATAAAGTTATTTCATCCTAACGAAAGACATAATTATTATCGACATATGAAAGTGTAAATTTATAATAAAATTTCACAAAATTTAGGGTGAAATAATCCAACTCTCATGCTTCAATTACATTCAATTTTAAATTATAATGTTTCAACGATTTGACTCAACAATTAATATTCATTAATAAGTCGAACTGTTTTATCAAAATAGATGTGAGTTCCGTCAAATAATGATAAATGTAATAGTATAGTAATACATGATCATTTATCATGTTTATATTTTTCTATTATTTTTTTATTTTATACATACGACTGTATATATAGTACTTCCTTCGTTTTAAAATTATAATCTCGTATCTGTTTCACACAACTCAAGATAGTTTGTTAAACTATAATTTTTATTTCTTATTTTTTCCATATATACCTTTACAGATCCTAAAGATTGTATATTATTAACTTTTTCAAACTTTCAAAATAAGACAAATAATTAGTTATATCAAGATTTAAATTAATTAATTTAAGATTGTTTTCCACTATTTAGTAAATGCAACTAATATAAATCATTTATATGAATTATTATATAAGAGTGTCTAAGGAAAGTAAAAAAATCTCCAAAAATATAAATAGAACTATTATTTTAGAACACCTAAAAAGAAAATTGGAACTATAGTTCTGAAACGAATTAAGTATTAAAATAAATGTGTATAATTGAAAATAAGGATGGTTAAACGGTCAATTTAATCAAAATTAATTTAAAATGATGAAAATTAAATAAAATAATTTTCTTCAAATAGTAAAATCAACCAACGCGATTAAAAATCAAATTAACCTAATTCAAAGTTTTTAAAAAATAAAAAGTTAAAATATATATAGGCTCCTAAATTATATCTTAATTTACACTTTCATTCTTTTACTTTTGAAAAATTACTATAATCCCTAATTTTCGTTGGTTAGATCCTTTTTTGAACATAAAAAGGATGAAAATGTTAATTGAGGTATCATTTAGGGATCCTTGTGCATTTTTCGCCAAATAAAAAATTAGAATCAATTCATTAAGGAATGCCTCAATTATTGAAGTTGATTCGGTTGCGTACTTATTACGGTCGTTGGTCAAGTTAATTTATTTGTTAGACACGTGTACTGTTATGTTTTTGCAATATAATCCAACGCTTAACCACTTTATAATTAATGATTCTTTTTTTATAACTTCCACCGAAAAGAAAAACTCTTACAATTACAGGCTTCAAATTTTCACACCACCCCTTTTTACCACAATTAAAAAATAATCAATCAAACCATAAACTCACACCACCCCTTTTTACCACAATTAAAAAATAATCAATCAAACCATAAACCTAAAATTATTTTTACCACATAATTTAATATTTAAGTATCCAATAATTCTTTTTTATTGTGAATTAATTTTTAGAATTTTTTTAGAGAAATTAAACATATATATAGTATGTAAGTTAACCCTATTCAAACTAACATGAATGAACACTATTGTAAAATGGTAATCTAGTTAGATTTTTAATATAAGGTTACATTTATTTCTGTAAAATATTTTATAGAAAATTTTTTTTTTTTAATTTTCAATTATTTAGAGTGTTCAAGAAAATTAGTAAACATGAAATATTTTCCTTGTCAAAGGAAAATCAAGTCATTTTTAAGTAAAATGACTTTTCATTTTTAAAGGTGTAAAATATTTTTCTTTCGGACATTGATAAACTTATTATAATATAATAAATTTACATCTTTTTAATTTATTAATCATCAATAGCCACTATCAGCAGTCATCGTTCACCACCACCGACCACTGTTGGCCACCACCATTGATGATCGGCGATTTTCATAATTACTATTTTTTTGTATTCTTCTAATATTTAACAATAAAATTATTAAATACGAAAATTCTATTATTATTAATATTTTTATAATATTTTTATGAATCTTTAGTTAAATTTTAATATTTTAACTAATTTTTAATAACTGCAATTTAAACAAAATTTTAATATTTTTAACTAATTTTTAATACTGCAATTAAACAAATTGAAAATAAATTATTTAAAAAATATTTTTCAAAGAAAACATTTTTCTTGAAAAATACTCCTTCTATCTTATTTTATTTGCTTGTTATTCATTTTTATGTTTGCAAGGTTTCTAAATTTAGATATGTAAATAATTATTTTTTTCTATAAAAATCTTTATGATGGTTCATGTTACGACCCGTTTCTAAGGTTCCGACCGGTACTAGGGTCCACTTAAGCTTAAGGCCCCCAAGGCCTGTAATAAGCCTGAATCACTCAATTCAATCACATCTAATTGCAACATAGGAACTGTAAGCGCAAATTATTTTATATAACAAATCTTATATATTGACCCAAATCCAGTAATTTAAATATTTCATAATCGAAGCCCAATTACATTACACAATATTTATCAAATAGGCTAACTGGTTCAAACTTTCACATAATTGAATAACTAAATACCCACATAAATTTATCAGTTACAATCGAAGTTCAATATCAATCAGAACAATTTTGTAAACTCACAATTACGCTAATTACTAAAATTAAATATTTTCTTTTCTAGCTCTGCGATGAAGGAAATAGAGCTTTAACTGGGGTTTAGAAGAGACTACTTCCTGGAAAGTTAAACAAAACATGTGAATTTTATAAGGAATAATAATTATTGCACCCCACAAGCATTCACACAAATGTGTAAATAATTAAATCTAGTCATCAGACTAGTTATATGATCACGCGGACAATCACACAAATGGCATCAGAACAGCACTCACAAATATTTGCACCTTCCCCACATATCCTCAATTGACCAGCCATCTCATTATTTTTCCATTCTCTTTTTTCTTTTCCATACCAATACGAGGCCACCCAGTGGTTTTCCATATCATTCGTATCATATCATCAGGTCCACACGAGAGCGTCGATCTCCCCATACATGGCCGATGGTCAAATTTCATATTTTCATTATTTTCAGGACCGTCCTCACAAACCCATGGTAACTACTTCATCCCAACTCCACACAAACAAAACATAACATTATATCAACACAATTAATCAAACATTGCAAATAAATGCAAGCATGGCAAACAATTAAATATCATGATGCAATTGCACAACTAGACATTCATATTTAATTACAATTAAATAAAGGAATAGTAATTAACAATATATTATAATAATGAACTAGTACATTAAACAATATATTTATAATGAATTGATCCTTGGGAAAAATAAAATTAAATCAATATATAATTAAAACTAATTAAGACATGTTATTTACTTATATATTAAGTTTAAAGAATTAATCTAAAATAAATCTCATTAACTTAACTTATTAATTGTGACTAGCCTAAATCATCTATCGAAATATCTCCTGACATAACCTCTCCTTAAAATTTGAGCTAACCAAAAAGATTCAAACTAAATTTCTACAAAAGCGCATCCTTCGGGTCAATAATAAATTCTCAAAGCCCATCCTTCGGGCAATCCAAAACAACCAATCCTATTTGCCAAACCATTATTCATTCGTTCAATCATTTACTCAAATCACACAGTCCATCCGTCAGGCAATCAATCAAATCAAGCACCTATCCTCCTTAAACATTAGTATTAACACCCAACTATCTCAACCACAAATTTGCAAATATAGCAACTTTCAACCTCTTCCAACAATACTCATATAAGATTATTTGTTAAATCATAAACTGATCAAATTAATAACTTGTAATTAAATTGTTAAGTTATTAAAACTCATTTTTAACAATAACTATTTTTCACTACTAGTTACTTTAGATTCGATTCTTATATCAATATCAGAAGCGGTTAGGCTTTCCAAACTTAGTTTATCAGAATTATGCATCTAACCTCCGTTAACCGACCCAAAAAAAAAAAAAAAAAAAAAAAAAAACAAAAAAAAAAAAAAAAAAAAAAAAAAAAAAAAAATCATCTTACTTTTATGCACAACCAGCTAGTTTTAAGCTAATGATTATACTAATTAACTAGCTGACTAATTCTAATATATCTTTCACATTTTGATTTGTCACAACTATTATAAATGACTTGTAGTCTAAAGTTTCAAAATTTATTGTATTTATCTAATGAGGATCATATTCGATTAAAGACTAAAAATGTTCTATCTACATATGAACTATTCTAATAATCTAATTTCTTGTTATTTAATTAAATCTACTTAAATAATCAATTAAATTTACTAATTAAATCTACTTAAATAATCAATTAAATTTACTAATCAATTAAATGCGAAATTTATACAAAAATTAAGAAGTGGGTCTTTGGGCGTACCGATGAAAAGTCGAATGACGATTCCACTACCAGCGCGAGGAGAGGTAGATTCTGTCTCTTGTTGCCTCGCCGGAGACTCGCCGTTCGGTCGCCGTACGCCGCCGCCTATGGTGGCCGGAAACCGTGAGTGCTCGGAATCGAGCGCTCATCGCACTATCTGGCTCGGTTTTCTGTCAGGAGTCCATTTGTGGCATTAGTTGCGCGAGATCAGCCTTCTATTCGACCGGAGCGGGCTCGACAGGAGCCAAGTGCCGCTGCCATCTTCGCTGCCGATAAGGAGAGGAAACTACAGCTCGTCGGAATCGCGAGCGAGGAAGAGACGCGACTGAGCAGAGGCGATCGGCGGTTGAATAGCAAAGATTGGAGGTGCTGCTGCGTCGCCGCCAAGGAGAGACCGCAGCTCGCCTATCCGCCTTGCTTGCCAGAACTGGAAACAAAAGGAGAGAAGGAGAGAAGCCGGAAAAAGGGACCAGCGGCTCCAGGGGAGTCGATTGCCGCCTCGCTCTCGTCGGGCGGTGGCCGAAAACGGGAAGGAGGGAGGACGATTGCCGCCTCGCTCTCGTCGGGCGGTGGCCGAAAACGGGAAGGAGGGAGGAGGTCTCGCCTGCGCTCGCTGGAGAGGGAAGAAGAAGAAGAAAGAAAGTGGTTCTAGAGCTTTCTGGGCCATTTTGGTTCGATTCGAACCGGTTTGGTCCAATTCAGTGATTTGATCCGGTTTTTGCTTGGTTTACGGGTTTTTACCTGGTTTTCGAAACACTCAAATTGGTTTATAGGTCCGGTTTAGTAATAATAAAATATTTGTTTTATAATCTAATTGGTTGAATTTAAAATTTAGTTTTTAAATAAAAATTTTAAGAAATTAAATTTTTGGGTCGTTTCGGTTCATTAAATGAAAGATTTTATTAATCTCTTAATGAGTTAATGGTAAAAAGCGCAAAATAACTTTCATTGATTAAATTCTTAATATATGTGTTTTGTCAAATCATGCAAACAAAATAAGACGGGAGAGTATTTTTCAACGGTAAATTATTTTTCGGAAATAAACAGAGTCCAAATTTATAATTGAGCTATAAATCATTTTAGTATTTTAAGAAAGAATAAATTATGTTTTTTCAATGTTACATTTATTATATTAAGTACAATAATTATGTTTACAAATTATCATTAGTTTTGAAATAAAAGTAATTTGATCAAATTATCTTTGATTTTATTATAATTTTAAAAAAAAATTTTTTTTCTTTAATTTTCATGCAAAACCCTTAACCCTTTGCTGATATGAGTATTTTTTTTTTGGAAGAATAATATTTCACTTACTTTTCACGGGGACTATATGTTTTGAATCCTCTAATTTGAAGAAAAGTGAAAATCTCACTTATTGTTATTAAATTATCTAAATATCCCAAATTAATTCACAAACTTTAAACCTTTCTTAAATACCTCATAGTCTAAGTGAGGATATAAGTATCAATTTTCAATGACAATATTTATTTCCCTCCAATTTTTTCTTTTCCCAAATAAAGAAAAATAAATTTATTTTCTTTTCTTTATTATATCCAAACACAAATGTAGAAAATAACTATAAAAAGAAAATTGACAATCCCTTATTACCTTATTATTTTCTTTCCTGCAATATTTTCTTTCCTCTCCTTTTCAAAAGGCAAATGGCTTAGTCGTTGTAACCGAGAGAGTATATTTTATATTATAAATTATAGATATATAATAGATTGAGTGACTTTTATTACAATTGATACAAACTACACAAGCATTAATTATAGAAAGATCAAAAGTATAAAATATTAGCATGTAAGAAATTAAGTTTTGAATTTCCACGTGAAAATATATTATAAAAATACATCCGCCAGGAAATTATGTACATACACACAAAACGTATATCATTTCATTCTTATTCTCTCCCCCAGTTAGTCCTTTAATTTTCTCACCATTTCTCAGCCGCCAAACAGAAAGAAAAAAAAAAAAAAAAGATTTTTCTTATATTTATATACATTATCATGAACTTTATTGCTTGCCCCACTATTGGGAGGAATTGATGAATCTATTGATTCACCACTTTTGTATCTGCACTTCATCTCTACTAAATACATAACATTTTCTTAGATAAAATTATTAAAATCTTATTTCATATAAATTCCCTTGATTCAGGTTTTCTTATTTCATATAAATTCCCTTGATTCAGGTTTTTTCAGAAGGCAACAAAACATGCAATCTGTATTCAGCCAAAGCCCAGATGGGAAAAGTATTCCTATATAGTGCATAGTGCAGCATGCAATTCCTCATGAATACCCCACTCTGTCCCTGTCATTATTAGATAGGTAGATTAGCAGTTTAGCAACCCAGAAATTATATAAATAGACCACTTTTAATGAAAATTGATAGAATTTATAAAGCCAAACAAAAGAATTGTAAGATCATGGAATAATTTTACCTGTTGAGGGAAATCTCCAAGTTCTGTCTGAGAATTAATTAACAGTTTTGCAGCACGATGAAGAGGCATAGGGTCTCTCTTGACCTTCTCAAAAGAAATTTAGAATTAACTTCAATATAAAAATAATGTATTTTGATTAGTACTAATATATTATAAATGATTATAATGTAAATTGACCTGCCCTCCATGAATCAAACCCATCATAGCCCATGCAGTCTGAACCAAATTTGATCGATCACCCTCATAAGGAACGTACACCTACATTGAAATTGTTGAATGATAGTACGAGGTTCGCAACATAATAATGAATCGACAGGTCAACAATTATGCAAAGCCAAAGGGAAGCAAGCACCTTCTTTGGACATGAGAGATAACTCTCAGCCCATCCACCGTCATCTCTTTGCGATTTGAGCCATCCACCGTCATCTCTTTGCGATTTGAGTAGAAAATCAACACCTTTTTGAATGGCGGGACAATTTTCATATGTCCTGCCTGCAGCAGCTAAACCTTTAAGTGCAAACCACGTACCATACATGAAGCAAATTCCCCAATTTCCATACCTGTGGAACTCTTGTTATATAATTGATTTCTCTCTGAATTCTAGGCCACGGAGTAAATAAGTAATGACCATACCATGAACCATCAGGCTTTTGTATTTCTTCAATGAACCGTACAGCATTCACGATGGAATTATTTATCTCTCTGTTCCTCTGCTCAGGGTATAATGTACTAAATAGGACTAATGCTTGGATTGACGATGAAGTGCACTCCACGTACCTGGGTGACCACTTTTTATTAGTCTTTGGGAGTTGGGACCTTGCAGTATCGAGGTAACTAGAGGAAAGATATTAAGACTACTAAGTTTAGATTTGGTATATTGTAACAGAGTAGTACATTACAACAATACCAAATATAGTTTTAGTTTATCATAAATGGATAAAGGAGCAAGAACCTTACTCGTGCTCAATCACCAGATCCTCAATGAACTCCACAGGATTGAGCCACTAGTTGAAAACAATGGCACATGTCAAATAATCTATCATAAGATAACAAACGGCACAAGCTAAATATTGGACACAAAGTACAAATCATTACTACCTGGGTAAATTTCTTAACTAATGGGCCAGACTTGCTAACCTTGCTTCTACAATTTTAACTCCAAATATCTATGTCAAATAACATAACTAAGAAAAAAATAAAATCAAACTAGTATAAAAGTCCAAAAATGAGTAAAAAAATTATGCAAAAATTCCATCACATAAAAATATCTAGGGACACCTTATATTTGTGCACTTGATATTTATGTCAAATGTCTAAAACATATTAAAGATTCACTCAATTTAAAATTCAGTTAGATAAGGAATATTAGCTAGGTTTTATATTTCTAGCAAATTGAAAGCAAATTTAGAGTTTTTAAGGTCAGTTCAGTATCCTGAATTACTTACCTCCAACCATAACCTTTCTCCTGCTGGCTCCCAAGCTGAGAAACCACCAGTTTCACTCTATAACAATTTATAAAATTATGCAGAATGTTAATTTATGAAAAACATTCACAAAGAAGTATCAAGTGAATATAGTAAAGGGTAACAAGCAGATATACCATTCTTTTAGGGGAAAAGGGATGAGAAACAGGGACAATGGCATTATTTTTACTGCATTGAATCCTTACCTGAAGAGAAAGTAATACATTGACAGAATCATACAGCTTTATGGCATCCATTTTCTCACCAACAATTTCAGAAGGCATCATCGAGAAAAGCAGGCAACACTAGCGATCACAAGATAATTTAATTATGGTTTAGAAATTACCCTTGATATTTGATTCTCAAGCTTCTTAAAAACATATTTAAAGTTCAGGAAAAACTACATAATTACCTTCAAACCTTCTGCTGTGGTATCAGAAACTTGCCATCCATGATCCTTATCAGAGAATGTCCAAGCTCCTTTGGAGGTATGACGAAACATTCTCTTTGATCCTTATCAGAGAATGTCCAAGCTCCTTTGGAGGTATGACGAAACATTCTCTTGAAGTCACCAGAAGGATTCTCCGTTACCTGTCAGATATGTAAAGGGATAAGCACTGAAGCAAAAATAAAATTAAAATGAAACACAGGCATTATATGTTGTTATACTCCTGATGCCGCAAGGAATAAGTAGTTCTAGGGAAAAAACATAGGTACCTGAGAGTTCTTTATAAAGTTGTGTCCTTCCTTAAGTGTAGGTCCTATTTCATCACAGAGATTGCTAGCCATCAAAGCTTGGAGGGCAAGGCTTGTATCCCATACTTGACTGCCAAAACTCTGAAGAAAAACCTCAGTGGTTTTTACATCTAGTATGCTTCTATTAGCAATTGAAAATCAGGTACTTCAAAAATCAAGTATTGAACTTAATTTCAAATGAAAATAACAACGAACTCATTGGTACTGATATATTTCACATACAGGAATGCGTACCAACCTGCATCTTTATGCCATCTTCTCCAACCCATATATAATCCAAAATCCTAGCAAGATGCTTCTTAAAAGCATCCCCATCGGGATCTTCAACCCAACAGGCAAGCATGTTTAATGGCTGTTTCATTTCAAACAACACATAAGTCAAATGAGAAGGAATATATACATAGTGCACAAACATTATCCATGCATGGTTTTCTGCTTGCCATGACCGTGTACCTTTTCCACACATCCAATGGTAATGTATCTACTGTTTTCGTCTTCATAATGAATGTGATCCATCGTTATTTTGAGAGCCTTCTCTCTCAATTTGTTGAAGGGCCAAATGGTGAAAAGAGGCTCACTAAATATATAAAGAGCATCCCACAGCAGTTTTTGTATCATTGGATGGGGATAGTAGTTATCCTCCTGCAGTAACAAAAGGTTTTGCAAAATCATACTGATTTTGTATAATGGATCAAGCTTCTTTGAGCATGAAATGCTACCAAGTCTTAAGAATCAATTCCTGTAGATGAAATGAATGCAGATTTATACCTTTGCACATACATGACGTACATTCTTCCAATTGATTTTGTTGTAAGGTTCATTGTAGATTTCTTCCCTTATTTGTAAAATGAGAGATGTGATTGGACCAACAAACCTCTTCCCATACAAGTACGACATAGGCACATAAGTTAGCCGACAGTAGCACATCATTTTTGCTGCAGTTAAGTAATATAATGAATAATATTTGAGAGATACAAGCACACAACAGTATAAAGTCTGCAGCTAAAGCAGTGTTAGAAAGACCAAGATATTTGGATAAGTGTATGCGAAAGAAAATTTGCAAAACCTGGATGCAGAGGAACAATTATTGGACACGCCCAAAACTCTGGGGGCATAGGGTTGCTTCCGTCCCACTCATACATTCCAAGTATCTATGTTACAAGAAACGGCGACCATTAAAATATTTTACCCAATACCCAAAACAATTATGCTGTTGAGCATTTTAAATTGATATGAATACGTTATAAATATATGCTTACTGATAGCCATGTCTTTCCCCAAGAGCTTATGGCAGTTGCACCACCATGATCAAGAATCCATTTTCTTCCTCTTTCACAAGCATTATCTTTTCCACCATCACGTCCTTCGCCAAGTATGCGCATACATATATAGTTAAGAACGGTACAAAACATGGAGGCCAAGTATGCGCATACATATATAGTTAAGAACGGTACAAAACATGGAGCTGTGACCTTCTATGTGTAATCCCCACCCACCATCTTCATTCTATAAAGATATACACAATAATTTCCATTAAACATAAGAACAAAAGAAAAGGTAGCCGTCAAAATTATCGAAGTCTGAGTTCCTTTACAAATTTAATTAATTTCGAGCAGAATCATATACCTGATGACAGTATATGTAGCGTAGTATCTCTTTGCGATGCTCTGCAGAGAAGACAGTATTAAGATGGCCTGTTACGTATAAAGAAAAAACCTGCATTTGAGTGGAATGCAATTAAAAAAGATTCAAGTTGAAAGTACAATAAAATCTGAATTAGAGCTTGATTTAAACTTCCGTAATTACAAAGATAAGAGACTTGAAAATATTAGCAACGATGAGTACCAATGGAGGAAAATAGAACAATGGGCCTGAATTTTCTGCAGGCCAATGGCCATCGCTCGCCTGCAAGGCTGAAAATAAGTGGACGCTCCGTCGTAAAGCGGCGGTTGCATTTTCGTATGTAATTTCCTCGCCATCTTGCAGCTTCACTTGAGGAATTGTTTGTTTGAACTTTTTCTCCCTTAGGAACTGTGTTTATTGCAACAGAGAGCGACCATTTTTTTTTTGAGAAAGGTAACCAAAATTTTAATGCCAGAGGGAAGAAACTATTTTCTTAGAGAAAATTTTAACCAAAAATTTAATACCGAACTTTCATCTTAGAGAAAACATTTTCTCAATTTGATGGTTCTTACGCATTTAATTTTATTTCAAACATATCCTTCAAATTGATTAATTTTATTTTTCAACCAAACAATAGAATATAAAATTCAGAAATTTCACATTACATGAAACCACAATTAAGTAAAGGTTACGGTTTTTCTTTTTTAAAAAAAAAAGTAAAACTTTAGGTTTAACTATATTAATTATATTATTTAGTTTTTTAATTCTAGTTTTAGTTTAGAGCTGTCACTGTTTATCGATAAATAGTATCCCTAGCTCATACTTTTTACTCTCTCTTTTGCATAGTTCAAATTAAATAAAAATACAATTTATAAATTTGTATTATGCCAATAGCATACAAATATTTCAAATTAAAAAGAATAAAATTCCTGATATTAATTTTATTTGGAACTTTTCAATATAATTAAATATATATGAAGAGATAGAATTAAGAAATTTATTATTTTTTTTTTTTGGAGTAGTGCGTCAAAAAGCGAGGAACAAGAAAATAAATTTATCATAATTAATTATATTCAATTCAACTTTAAGCAATATACTTGTAAAGTTCAAGGTATAAGTTATTTGTTATAATTTTTTTATTTTCTTTGTGTTTTGGGTAAATCATTGAAATAATCAAAGTTTGATTTATGGTTTAAGAATTAGGTCCCTATCTCATCTTTACAATTATATATTATTTATTTATTTCATTTATTTTAACTCAATCTATTTTAATCCATATAATAGTTTAACTAAACCCCGTATTTAATTTATTGTTCCATAAATTTTTGTAACAAATTCTATAATTTCTGTCTTATTGCATGTGCATAAAAAAAAATTTATTTTAATAATAACTCAATTTATTTTATTAAAAAAAATTTATTTTAATAATAACTCAATTTATTTTATTTTTATAATATAGGAAATTTATAATATTACGTATAATAAAGGAACAGAATGTTTTTCAGAAGAAGAAACTCCTCAAACTCGATAAATAATAAATAAATATAACATGAAGGCATATGTCTTATCTTAAAGATGAGCTTCCACTTCCTAATTAAATGAAAAACAATATACAGAAACATATTATATTAATTTACTTCATCCATAGTTTCGAAAACAAAGTTAAAAATGGAGGTTTCATGTATACCTGAAACTGCCAAAGAAGATCAGAGCTTGGTTTGATCTGAAAACGATTATTCCAGTAATTTTGTCGAGACTTTTCGACCCCTTCTCGCTCTTCAGGATTGCCAGCATCAGAATCAAATTCCCATATTTGCCTTCCAAGAAAATTGTTTGTGCTATAAATGTAAGGGTCATTGCCTCCCTCTGCAACCCTAAGCCTCCACATAATTAACTAATTATGAACACTCTCTCTTTAATCTTTTTTTTCACTTCTTTTCTTTATTTTACATGTATGTATACTAATAGCATATCTAAAAAAGAGACCTAGTTAAAGGAAAAACATTTAGTTATTAAAAAGATGTAAAGCATATCTAAAAAAGTTTGTGACCTCATGCTTGTGAAACAAACAAGATGCTGAAAGAACAATTACAAGTTATTCATAGCCATGCAGAAGCGGTTAGATTGATTTATAGAGTTGGGAGAGAGGATAAATTGTTGGATTTAATTTTCTATTGTGGGCTTAATATGTAACATAAATACGTACAGCAGTCTAATTGTAAAGTCAATGTAAAGTCAATTTCAAATGTGGTCTTGATTGTGAATAATTGACTATTGAGGTATCAACTGATTATAAATATTAAGTGTAGAGACCATTATATAATTTTTATTTTGTTAAAGGACCGAAATAGAAATTATACTAACGCTACAGGTATATAAAGGTAGTGGTCCCCAGAGGAGTTGAATACGATTCAATTTTACGTTCCTTTCGTATTGCTTCCGCTAATCGATTCTTCAATTCTCTGGAAGGCTGCAAACCTAATTCTACACATCAAGATCGACCAACAACGATGTCAGGTACGCAACCTTTTTATTCAATCTATATTGTTGAATCTAGTGGTTTACATGATCTGGGTTATCGTGGAATTATTTGAGATTAATTTATACATAAATTTTTTACATCAGTAATGGGCCATCTATATAGACTTAACAGTTACAATTCCTACTCGAAATGTAGATAAGATTATCAGTTACAATTTTCTTAAAATGTGTATAGTTCTGACAAAAAAGCAAGCATTATTATCAGTAAAAGTTTTTTTATGTTTTTAGCAAAATATACTTTGCGGAATTGAATTTGTGAAATTCAAATCCTTTGACGCCCAACCAAAATGTCGTTGGTTTACTAAATTGTCTTACATGACCCTACAAAATCAGTAATTGGAAGCTAGATCCCACATGGATAGACTTACTTACACCTGCTCTGTTGTATGATACCATCTATATATTAAATCAAAATAATGGAGGATTTTTTCAAAAATTATTATTATTTTATTATTTTTCTTTCTGAATCGTCAGAGATGCTTTCATTTAAATTAAAACAAAAAATTATTTTCAACTCCTACACGAAATGTACAATTTTTTTAAAATGTGTATAGTTCTGAAAAAAAGTAGGCATTATTAGTTAATTAAAAAATATGAAAACTTATTAAATTATTATTTTTTTTTCATATAATTAGGAGGTTTAATATCATTTGAAAAACAAATGCTCTCATATAAAATTTTTTTATCTTTTTAGCAAAATGGCACTTTCCCGAATTAAATTTGTGAAATTCAATTCCTTTGACGCCCAACCAAAATGTTCGTTGGTTTATATTAAATTATCTTACATGACCCAACAAAATCAGTAGTTGGAAGCTAGATCCCACATGGCTAGGTAATTGACACTTCAGCACTATAAAATCAGCACTTGGAAGCCAGGTGGATAGGTAAATTGACTTTTTAAATTGTGCTTTAAATTGTGAAATAGATAAGTTAAATTTGTTAAATTTGATATAATAATTTTTTAAAAAATATTTTCTAATTAGTGTGGACAAATCTTATCTATATAGATATTTTTATTTTTATTAGTACAAATTATATAGTATTTTTGGATACTTAAAATATTAAAATAATATCCTAAGAAATTGACATGTACATTGAAAATACATTTCTTAATTAATAATATATATTAATATTTAAGAATATATATTATATATTATTCCTCGTTGTGTTTACTCGTTATTTTTAATTTGTAAATTGAGAATTATACTAAAAATGTAATATATTCTCATAACATATAATGAAAATTTTTAAATAAGAATCCTTTTAAAAATCCCATCTCAGAAAATAAATATTTTAAATTTAATTATAATGACTATTTTTAAATAAGAATTGCATTAGGAATCCAATATATATCTTAGTATATAGAATATACCATTTAATTATAATAAAAATTTCATAAATAAAAAATTATATTTGTTTGTCTTTGTTTGTAATGCTGAATTTATTATTTTTCTATATAATATTTAATATTATAAATTTCTATAATACTAAAAAATTTAGAAGAACATTAATATTAATATTAATTTAATAATTAATAAATTACTGAAGATATTTTTTATTTATAAATAAATTTATAAAAAACAGTAATTATCTAATATCCAACAAAAGTAGAAGAAATATTTATTCAAGTCATTTTAAAAAATAAGATAAAATCTATTTAGAAAAAATTTATTGAATCAAAATGTTTCATAAAAGAATATTATAATTTGGTACCTTGATTTATGATTGATAGATAGAAGAACAATAAACATACGTGCAATTAGCTTGACAAAATCAAACTGTTGTAAAATAAATTCTCCTAGAAAAATATAAATTATATGTGTGAAGTTAAAATCTTAATCACCTCTATGGCTTTCAAAATATAAAATAAACTACACCACTATTATAATATTTAAAGATCTAATGTATACATTTGATATTATAATCTCAGCGATTAATCTTGTAGCCTTCTAAACTTTGTAAGAGATCTATATAATTATATACTATTCCTATATCTCAGTAATAATTATATTTCTTATCAAAATAAAATGTGAAAGTACGAAGTCATAATCAAAATCCGTAAAGTTATTTCGTCCTAACGAAGGACATAGTTATTATTTACATATGAAAGTGTAAATTTACAGTAAAATTTCACAAAATTTAGGGATTTATTTCAAATTTTGACAGGTAGTTAAATCCAACTCTCATCCTTCAATTACATTCAATTTTAAATTATAATGTTTCAACGATTTGACTCAATAATTAATATCCATTAATAAGTCCAACAGTTTTATCAAAATAGATGTGAGTTCCACCAAACAATGATAAATTTAATAATAATTAATATCCATTAATAAGTCGAACTGTTTTATCAAAATAGATGTGAGTTCCACCAAACAATGATAAATTTAATAATAATTAATATCCATTAATAAGTCGAACTGTTTTATCAAAATTTTTTTAATATAGTTTTATTAGGAATTTTTAGTATTTTTAATTACTTTTAATTAGTTTTATTTTGTTTTTGTAAAGTTTCCTTAAATCTTGATGAATTTTTGCGGAAATTTTGCAGGATTTTTATAGGAAACCAGCTTATTTCCTATCTAGGCACTGGGAGAGTCCTAATTAGGAAGAAATACAAAGCCTAAACAATTTCCTATCTGTAAAAGATTTCTTATTCAATAAAGATTCGCTTTCCTAAACGAACACGAAGATATTCCAGAAAGTCTATATAAATAGAGAGACTAGCCATAGTCAACGGAACCATTCATTGTATACTCCATTTCTTGTTTTATTATTTTCTACATAGTTCTCTCTCTCTCTCAAAGACTTCAAGCATTCAAGATTCGTGCCAAGATTCAATGAAGCCATCCACGTATCTGTTGTTTAGTTTTTATTTCTAAACTCTTAATCTTGTTTTACTTTTCATTATTCATATTGATTGTGAAGTTTTATTCAAGTATTGTGGAGTTTTATTTAATTACTATGTCGAACTAAATCCTCATACTAGGGATTTGATATAGATTGAATTCTTTTCCAATTTATAATATTAGATTTGTTTTGTTTTTTCTTTTGTTTCAAAGTATAATTTATTATTGCACTTAATGCTTCCAGGTAGAGTTTTCTCCCATGGATTTATTTATTTTCATTAATCACTATCGGGAGAAGTGTTTTTGATATGAACAGGGGTTAATAAATTACATAATTAATAATAACTTGATCTGGAAGCTATGTGGTTTGGACTCATGGGGGTTTCATAAGTTAATGGACCTTAGGTTATGAATTCATTAAACAAACCACAAAATTAATGATTTAATTCATGGTTTGATTGCCTACTGGAAGATATGTAATTAGACCGGGTTAGAATAGCTACTAATAAATGGGAGCGAGCTTTTAGTTGATTTTAAGGTGTTTCCTCTACTTGAACAATTTAAAATTTGATAAAAAAATTAATAAATAAATTGGATAGAGTTAAGTGAAATCAAATTTCCTAGTAGTTTTTAAAAATCCTTTATTTCTTTTCATTATATGTTGCTTGATTTATTTCTTGTTTTCCTTTTAAAATTATTTTCTTACAATAAATCTCTCTTATTGTGTTTAAATAATAATAGTATTAACACAAATTTGATATTTGATATACAATCTCTGAGGAGACGATTACTCTACTTACTTTTATATTACTTGCTCTTTATATTACTTGCTACGATTTCGTATACTTGCGAAAAATCACTGTCAATAGTAATACATGATCATCCATTGTGTTTATATTTTTCTATTATTTTTTATTTCATACATACGACCGTATATATAATACTTCCTTCGTTTTAAAATTATAATCTCGTATATTTTTCACACAGCTCAAGGATAGTTTATTAAACTAGTTAAACTATAATTTTTATTTCTCATTTTTTTCCATATATACCTTTAAAGACCCTAAAGGTAGTATATTATTAACTTTTTCAAACTTTCAAAATAAGAAAAATAATTAGTTATATCAACATTTAAATTAATTAATTTAAGACTGTTTTCCACTGTTTAGTAAATGCAACTAATATAAATCATTTATATGAATTATTATATAAGAGTTTATTAGGAAATTTAAAAAAAAATCTCCAAAAATATAAATAGAACTATTATTTTGGAACACCCAAAAAGAAAATTGGAACTATAATTCTGAAACGAATTAAGTATTAAAATAAATGTGTATAATGAAAATAAGATTGATTTAAACGGTCAATTTAATCAAAATTAATTTTTAATGATGAAAATTAAATAAAATAATTTTTTTCCAAATAGTAAAATCAACCAACGCGATTTTTAAAAAATAAAAAGGTAAAATATATATAGGCTCCTAAATTATATCTTAATTTACACTTTCATTCTTTTACTTTTGAAAAATTACTAGAATCCCTGATTTTCGTTGGTTAGATCCTTTTTTGAACATAAAAAGGATGAAAATGTTAATTGAGGTATAGTTTAGGGATCCTTGTGCATTTTTAGCCAAATAAAAAATTAGAATCAATTCATTAAGGAATGCCTCAATTATTGAAGTTAATTCGGTTGCGTACTTATTACAGTCGTTGGTC